AGGTGGTGTTGATAAGACTCTGTTCATTGGAGAGGATGGAGATGATATGTTGATTATCCAAGTGTATGTGGATGATATCATTTTCGGAGGAACCTCTAAGCAAATGGTTGATGACTTTGTGAAGACAATGACCAAAGAATTTGAAATGAGTATGGTTGGTGAGTTGAGTTACTTCCTTGGACTTCAGATCAAGCAGCTGGCCGATGGAATCACAGTGTCACAGAGTACCTATGCCAAGAACCTCGTCAAGCGCTTTGGGATGCAGACGAGTAAGACAGCAAAAACGCCCATGACTACAACAACCAAGCTTTCCAGAGATAGCGATGGGAAATCTGTTGATGAGAAACTATACCGAGCCATGATTGGAAGTCTGCTTTACCTCACGGCAAGCCGTCCAGACCTATGCCTCAGTGTGGGGATATGTGCTCGCTATCAGGCTAAACCCAAGGAGTCACACATAAACGCTGTAAAACGTATTATCAAATACGTGAAGNTGCAAGAGATGGCAAGAGCAATGTTGTGTGGCAATAGGGTTCCATCTGGTTTCTGGGCAGAAGCAATCAGCACTGCATGCTATGTGATAAACCGAGTATATGTTAAACCCAAGACCAAGACTACGCCATATGAGATCTTCAAGGGCAAAACACCAAATTTGAGTCACATGCATGTGTTTGGATGTTTATGCTACATTCTCAATGATAAAGAACATCTTGGGAAATTCGAGGCGAGGAGTGACATAGGGATGTTCTTGGGATATTCAGTGAACAGCTCTGCTTACCGTGTGTTTAATCAGCGTACCAAGTTTGTTGGTGACAATGTTAACGTCGTCTTTGATGATAGCATTGGATTCTATGAGGCTCGTGTGACACAAAGGATTGACGGTGTCACACCGAGTTCCTCAAAAGAAGCTGAAAGTGAAGGGAAAGATGAGTCTGAAGAAGAAGATGATCCTGAGATGACTAAAGTCGAGCTTGATCAAGGGAAAGTGCATAAGAACCACTCCTCATCAGACGTAATTGGAGGACTTTTTGATGATAGAGTCACACGAAAGAAGCAAATCAACTTTAAAGAGATGGTCAAGTTGGCGTGCTTTACAGTGAAGATGAATGAGGTTGAATGTTTCGTGTCACCCATTGAACCCAAGAATA